AATTATGGACATTGTCCTTGACTATAACTGGAACCTCATGAAACAGTTCAAAGCGATCAGCGCTGTATTTCCGCACTTTAGTGTGGTAATGGGTTATTAAATAATGTATGAATACCTAAGCACCTATAAATATTTACGTGTAACTCCCAATCAATTTAAAGGTCAACCACTCCTCTCCTCCTTCAACTTCTCGGGTCTACGTCCTTCGGGAGTTAATATATTCGCCACAGAATGCAAATTTTGTCATTTTCACACAAAAGACAGTGTCCATTTGACCCGCTAAATATTGACCGATCTTTATCGAAACAGGCATGCTTATTCTTTGGCCCGATCAACTTCTCCATGTAAAAATTTGCGATGTTTGGGCCATAATTGCGGCCTCTGAAGCGACCAGAAAATCCATTTCAACCCCTAAATATTAACCGATCTTTACCAATAGGGGTCTTCATTGGCCTGAACCCATCATACATGTAAAATTTCGTGAATATTGTTCCATAACTGTGGCCTGTATCGTGTTTACAAATTATAATGGACAGACGGACGGACACACATGTCTAGATCGACTTAGCTAGTCGAGATAGGACGATCGGTATATTTAATGGTGAGTCTAGGACCAATTTTTCGCTGCGTTACAAACCCTTACGGCTGCAAAAAGCTATAATATTCTGACAACATAGTTGTGTAGGGTATAAAAATATATAGTCGGACAGATCGTTCATATGATACCCCACAAAACTACCGCTGAACTTCAACTTGCTGGGGATATATATTTCGAGCCTGAGCTATATCTAAATCTGAACAGATTTTGACGAAACTTAGCACAAATTATTCCAGACACAGTTCAGTACGCTATCTATATATCAAAAGATATATAGAGACTTTGGTACACCATTTGCATAAAATCGGACGAAAATATATATGGGAGCTATATAAGAATCTGAACCGATTTTCACGAAACTTAGCACACATTATTCTAGACACAGTTCAGTACGCTATGCCGAATTTCGTGCACATCAAAAGATTTATAGAGACTTTGGTACACCATTTACATAAAATCGGACGAAAATATATGTGGGTGATATATAAAAATCTGAACCAATTTTCACGAATCTTAGCACACATCATTATCGAATCAATTCAGTAAGCTACGCCAAATTTCGTGCAAATTGAAAGATATATGGAGATTTTGTTGCACTATTTATATATATATGAAAATATATATGGGAGCTATATCTAAATTTGAAACGATTTTCATGAAACTTAGCATACATCATTATGGTCCTTAGTTAGTACGCTGTACCAAATTTCATGTAAATCGAAAAATATATAAGGACTTTGTGGACCATTTAGATTAAATCGGGCGAAAATATATAATGAGAGCTATATTTAAATCTGAATCGATTTTCACGAAACTAAAATATATATAGGTGATATATAAAAATCTGAACCAATTTTCACGAATCTTAGCACCAGTACGCTATGCCAAATATCGTGCAAATCGAAAGATATATAGAGACTTCGGTGCACCATATACATAAAATCGGACGAAGATATATATGGGCGCTATATCTAAATCTGAACCTATTTTCACGAAACTTAGCACACATCATTGTGGTCTTAATTTAGTACGCTGTACCAAATTTCGTGCAAATTGAATGATATATAGGGAATTTGGTGCGCCATTTACATAAAATCGGAAGAAAATATATGTGGGAGCTATATCTAAATCTAAATCGATTTTCACGAAACTTAGCACACATCATTTTAGACCCTATTCAGTACGCTATGCCAAATATCGTGCAAATCGAAAGATATATAGAGACTTCGGTGCACCATATACATAAAATCGGACGAAAATATATATGGGAGCTATCTCTAAATCTGAACCGATTTTCCCAATTTCAAGAGGGTTAGTTCTTGGGCAAAACAAATGAGCTGTGCAAAATTTTATTCAATTCGGATCATAAATGCAACCTGTACTTTGTTTACTATTTAACATGGACAGGCAGACGGACGAACGGACAGACATGTACCACAGTGTGGTGAAGTGTATAAAAAGGGGGTTATATGGAGACTATCCCTAAAAGGGTGAGAATATTAATAATTTTTGGAAGGGAGACTTGTTACCATATACGGCTACAAAATACTAAATTTCATCGAATTTGGTTGAAAAACGTGCTCAAGAAACACAAAAAACAGAAAATTTGGGGTTACTCGAAAAAATTGACCTATATTTACAATTTTTTAGTGGAAAGATTTGATACCTATTAAGAACTCAAAATACTTAACTACAGCCAATCCGGTAAAAATATAGATCAAAACCCCCAAAATACTGAACATTTGGGGTTTATAATGGGGGCTACCAGAAAAAGTGTACCTTTATTTATAATTTTAGTGGAGCAATTTTGTACCCGATAAGAACTCTATGTACCAAATTTCATCAAATTCGGTTGAAAAAACGCCCTCAAGAACCCCAAAGTACTTAAAAATTGTGGGATACCCTTATATGGGAGCTATGTCTAAACGTGGATCGATATAGCCCATCTTCGAACTTGATCCGCCTGAAGACAAAATACGAACAAAATACAACTCTATGCAAAATTTTGGTGATCTATTTCAATTCGTTTAGAGGCTAGAATGATCACAACAGGTAGACGGACATTGCTAAAGACCTAGCTTTTTATCTTTAGAACAGATAACGTGTATAAAATATATCTAGAGCAACCACATTATATTCATACGATCTGGGAAGACGAACACGAATGACGATTCCCAATAAATCTTTATTGAGCTCAATACCTATTTCTTCCAGTTTATTCACGAGTGACATGAATTCGCCTCTCCTCATAAAGTGTAATTTTTAGAGTAGCACAGTATCGTTCTTATGGCAATTCGTTCATTCTATGGTCGCTTGACAAAATGAACTAGGCCACTCATTTAGTTTTGTTGTTTCTTTTAGTTCAATCGTTCATTGGGAAGAACTAGATAATTGCTTAGGTCATAAGAACCTAGGAGAACGAGAGCAAAAAGAAACGACTGAAGTAGAAGAAACTAGATGAATGAAAGAACCGTATCTAGTGCCGATAGTTCCTTTTGGAGAATAGTTTCAATGAACTAGTTCGTTTCGAAATGCGACTCATTTAGTTTTGTAGTTTCTTTTAGTTGAATCGTTCAGTGGGAACATCTAAATAATTGCTTAGGTCATAAGAACCTAGGAGAACGAGAGCAAAAAGAAACGACTGAAGTAGAATGAACTAGATGAATGAAAGAACCGTACCTAGTGCCGATAGTTCCTTTTGGAGAATAGTTCGAATGAACTAGTTCGTTTCGAAACGACTTAGCTCTAGTAATTATTGCAGAAGTGACACACTGCTTGTGGACGCCATTGGTCTATGAATTTCGTACAAACTGTAGCATGCATAATTTCCCAAATACTGTGTTCAATTGTCGCAATCGTCTTTTCATATTTTTTCTGTTCAAAATGGATGAGATTTTCTTCTAATTTTTGTATTTATCGACAAATGTTTGACTATAAACCGACCTAAAATATGTAATATAATTGTGGAACGAACTAGTTCAATGGAATAGTGGAAAAGTTCAATGGAACTAGTTCCTTTTTTTGCTTTCGTCAAACTAGTTCCTTTGGATACAAGGAACTTTTGAAAGAACTATGGAACTAAATGAATTACCTAGTTCCTTATACGATAAAGACTGTGCCGCTTCAGGGACGAAATTTCTCAACTATACCATACTATTTAATTTTATATATTTCGATGTAATTCTGGTCCCATAACCTGTTGAACGTTATACCTGTTTTTGTTTCCGAAATAGAAGGCGTCTGCTTAGCAGTTACTCTGAACTATGTGAAATGTTGGGATCTAAAAATGACAGTTCGGATGGTGAATTTATTTAGTTCCTCATGTTTCAATCGTTCCTGTCAATGAACTAAGTGAACCAGGAGATCTAGATGAACTATTGGATCTAAAGGAAGTACCTGAACGGAAGCAATACCGATCATTCTTTTTGTTGAACGTTATACCTGTTTTTGTTTCCCAAAATAGAAGGCTTCTGCTTCGCAATTACTCTGAACTATGTGAAATCTTTTAGAATTAAAAATTACAGTTCGGCTCGCTCATTCATTTAGTTCTTCACAGTTCAATCGTTCCTGTCAATGAACTAAGTGAACGAGGAGATCTAGTTAGATAAACGATTGGATCTAAAGGAAGTAGCTGAACGGAAACAATACCGATCATTTTTTTTTTGTTGAACGTTATTCCTGTTTTTGTTTCCCAAAATATAAGGCTTCTGCTTCGCAGTTACTCTGAAATATGTGAAATGTTTTTATTAAAGTTAAAAACTAAAAAAGACAGTTCGGCTCGCTCATTTATTTAGTTCGTCATGGTTCAATCGTTCCTGTCAATGAACTTAGTGAACGAGGAGATCTAGATGAACGATTGGATCTAAAGAAATTATCTGAACGGAAGCAGTACCGCTCGTTCTTTCTGCGGAACAGTTCCATTGAGCTAGTTCATGCTGATGCGACACAACTCTAATCAAGTATTGCAATGAACTAAACACACATGACACTCCGATTGTGTGTTCCCACCAAAAATTGGCATATTAAGTAATATACATACACTTGTATGTACGACATTAATCGTAATTGGAATCGACGGGTCATCACATTAACGGTTAATTATTAAAATTCCCAATTAAAAAATAGTTATTCGAAAAATGTAGATTGAACATGATCCACTTCAAAGCCTTAGCCGGCATTGTTTTAAATAAACAACAGCGAATTTTTTCGAAAACCAAAATAACTATTTTGACTGCACTCAGAAATGAAGTTCATAGCCTATAGAAATTATATAAAACAAATCAGTTTGCTCCTGTTGTGGTTTATAATTGGCACCCAAGCAATTGCAATATTTAAGGTAAAAAAGAATTGAAAATTTTTTGAAAATATAATCTAAGGTAAATTATTATCTGCACCCTCCCAGAGAAACTGGACTTTTGAATTGAAAAAGGTGGAAGTGACAACATCCAATGCGGATTTATTGAATATGAGTGATTTTCGGGCGGAACGTGTTGGTCGGGGTCAGCATGCCTTATATGGGAAAATTTATTTGAATTTCGATATCAATGAAGATGATGGGAATGAGGTAATCACATTAATATTTTTTTTTAATTTTTGTTAGGTTTTTAACATATTTTTGTTCTGTTAACCCAAAGCTGGAGGTGGAAATCTATCGCAGTGCCTCAAATATGCATGATTTTCGTCCACTACCATTCCGGATTTATCGCACACATTTAATTAACATTTTGAATACCTTTTATAAGGATGCAGCAATGGAAAATTTAAAAAATTGTTCCAATTTACCACAGTTTGATGATGTCTTTGAGCCGCCATTAAAGCGGGATATATATTATTTTGACAAGTGTATCTTTGATGAGTCGGGATTTCCGGATTTTATTGTAGAGGGTTACTATAAGGTACTGGCTCGTGGTCATGGCCCAGTGGAGTGGACAATGATGTTTATTTCTCTAATTGAAACTGTATCGTAAATTTTAATTTTTGGCAAAAAAATAAATTAATAAATAAAGTGCCTACAGGGTGACAATAAATTAACAATACAATTTTGTTAAAAAGGGCGATTATTTTTTCAAAGTGCCAAGAAAATGCGTAAAATTAAATTTTTAGAGGCATTTAAGGACTATAGGCGTGGATGTTTTCAAAACATTTTTTCAAGGACTATAAATAGGAGTGGATGTTCTCAAAACATTTTTTCAATGACTGTAAATAGGCCTGGATTTTGTGCAGAATATTTTTTAAAGGATTTTTTACAAATAAATTTCAAAGGCTGTAAATAGGCGAGGAGTTTTTAAGAATATTTTTTCAAGGCATATAAACAGGCGTAGATTTTTTAAGAATATTTTTGAAGGGTTCAGGCTGTTTAAAAATCACGCCTTACATACTTAGCTGGCTTGTAAGTGTAAAAAAGATTTCCAAGCGCATCGATCTTGTGCGCATCTCCTCCCAGTTGAAAAACCACGTTCCAAGATGTTGCTTTCTATCTAGTTCGTGGCCTTCCTCTTCTACGGGAGCCATCAGTAGGCTAGACTTTATATGCCTTTTGAGCTGGGGCATTCTCATTCATTCGATGGCCTAGCCATCGTAATCGCTGCAGCTCAATACGACTGACTATGTCGATGTCCGCGTATAAATTGTAGAGCTCGTGGTTCATTCGACACCCCAATAGCTGCCTCATCTGTTTGCGCAAGTACCCATGCTTCTGGCGGGAGGTGGCCTTGTTTCTAAACTGCTTACTTAGACCATAGTAGCATCTGTTGGCTATCACAATCCTTCTCCGAATTTCAAAACTCATGTCATTCGTTTTATTTATGGCGGTACCAAGGTATATAAAGTCTTTAACTACCTCGGAGCTATAGTTCTCAAGTTCCACAATTGGTCCAAGTCTACTGGACGTCTTGCGAGTTGATACCATCAGCTTGGTCTTCTCGCCATTTACTCCCAGACCCACTTTGGCAGAGTCCTTTTCACTTTGTTCAAAGGTGGCTGTTACAGCTCGCAATATTCGACCCATTGTATCGATGTCATAGGCGAGTAACATGTCTTGTTTGGTGTACAGAGTGCCATTTTTTGTTCACCTTCGCCTCTCGTATGACCTTTTCCAGCAGGATGTTAAAAAGATCACACGACAAACTGTCACCTTGTCTGAATCCTCGTTCGGTATTAAAGGGCTCCAATAGGTCATTTCCGACTTTAACTGCTGACCTTGTGTCACTTAAAGTTATCCTGCATAGACGTATTAATTTTGCAGGAATGACGAACGTAGACATGGCTTTAAACACCTCTGAACGGATATGGCTGTCGAATGCGGCTTTTTAGTCGACGAATATGTGTCGTTGTGTTTTCCAGGATTTGGCGCATAGTGAAAATCTGGTTAATGGTGGATTTGCCAGGTCTGAAGCCGCATTGGCATGTCATGTCATTGACCATTGGCTTCAATCGTTCACACATCACACTGGATAGCACTTTATATGCGATGGGAAGGAGACTTATTATATCGTCTTGTCTCATTTTTTGTGCACGGGACACAGGATGCTGAGATTCCAATCATTGGGCATGCATTCCTCTAGCCAAATTGAACTAATCAGCCGGTGCAGGAGTAGGCCTCTGCCACCTGTTGTGTTTGCAGCTTTTCGACGTTGAGTTTCCGCGTTGTGTTAAATCGCACCTTTACTGCAACATTAAGACGAGTGCGAATCTTGGCTGCTACAAGGTAGTGGTCCGAATCGATATTTGCTTCTCTGGATGAATGCCTTCCGTCTATCACAACATGATCAATTTGATTCCTCGTTGCTTGATCAGGAGAAATCCAAGTGTTCCTGTGTATATGGAGATGCTTGAATCTGGTGCTGCTAACTACCCTGTTTTTTGCTTCCACGAAGTCAATCAACCTCATGCCATTGTCGGATGTTTCTTCATGACGGTGGGACCAAAGATATTTCCCTTCCGATTTTTGCATTAAAATCTAGTAGCAGAATTGTAATGTCATGGCCACGGCAGCGATCATATGCTGTTTCTAGGCGCTCATAAAATATGTCTTTGGTCTGCTCATCTTTGTCTTCGGACGGAGCATGGGCGCAAATAAGACTGATGTTGAAGAACTTCGCTCATCTGCTGGAGTGAATCTGTAGACGAGGTCTTTTATTCTTCTGTTAACCATAAATCCATTTCACGAAACTTAACACACATCATTCTAGACCTAATTCATTACGCTGTGCCAAATTTCGTGCAAATCGAAATGTATATAGGGACTTTGGTATACCATTTAAATTAAATCGGACGAAAATATATATGGGAGCTATATCTAAATCTGAACCGATTTTCAGGAAACTTAACACATATTATTCTAGGCTCAATTCAGTACGCTATGCCAAATTTCGTGCAAATCGAAAGATATGTAGAGACTTTGATGCACCATTTACCTTAAATCGGACGAAAATATAAGGGAGCTATATCTAAATCTGAACCGATTTTCAGGAAACTTAACACACATCATTCTAGACCTAATTCATTACGCTGAGCCAAATTTCGTGCATATCGAAGGTATATATTGATTTTGGTGCACCATTTACATTAAATCGGACGAAAATATATATGGAGCTATATCTAAATTTGAACCGATTTTCATGAAACTTACCACATATCATGCTAGGCTCAATTCAGTACGCTGTGCCAAATTTCGTGCAAATTGAAATATATAGGAACTTTGGTGCACCATTTACAGTAAATCGGACGAAAATATATATGGGAGCTATATCTAAATCTGAACCGATTTTCACGAAACTTAACACATATCATTCTAGGCTCAATTCAGAACGCTGTGCCAAATGTCGTGCAAATCGAATGATATTTAGGGACATTGGTATACCATTTACATTAAATCGGACGAAAATATATATGGGAGGTATATAGAAATCTGAACTGATTTTTCCCATTTTAAATAGGGTTCGTCCCTGGGCCAATTAAGTGACCTGTGCCAAATTTCATCCAAATCGCATCAATGCGACCTGTACTTTGTTAACAAAAATACATGGACGGACGGACATGCATAAATCGACTTAAAAAGTGATTCTATGCATCTTCTTAAATGAAACCATGTGTCTATCTCCTTTCCTTTTGCCTGTGACCAGGGATGGTCCGTGTGACGAATTTTTAGGTTTTCGACCGTCAAAAAGGTGTAAACGTCGATAACGTCATATACCTGTATAAAATGTAATAAATGTAGTAAACGTCGTTTATTTCAATATTATCAGCAAATAAGGTTATTTTCAAGAATATATATTATTTTTACATATATCTGACTATTCCTTGCTAGAACTGATAAAAATTTCTAAATTTTTTTGAGAAGAAAATTTTCAATTTTTTATGGATTTGAGTAAAGCATGCGTAATTTCCAAATTGATTAAAGGAAATAGCTATTTTGTCAAAAACCTAATGGATTTGGGTAGGTTTCCGACGTTTCTGACGTATGTATTATACGTCGGAAATGTATGTCATTTACGTCACTGTTTCTGACAGGCCATCTCTGCCTGTGACAAACATATGCACAAAGACATAATACCATGTACCACAGTGTGGTGAAGGGTATAATTATTTGAAAAATCCACGCTTTATATAGGCCTAGGAAACAATTATTAAAAAAATCACGCTTTATTTGGAGCCTAGAAAAAGTTATTTTAAAAATCCACGCCTGCATTGCGGCTATTCCCGTCCTGAAATCCATAAATTAGGTAAAATAAATACTTTCATACTTTCGTGTGTATAAAATCAATCTTAATTGGAATCGTCGGGTTGTCGTATTGTCGAATAATTATTAGTTAAACAGGCAATTAATAAAAAAATCAAAAAAAAAAAAAAAATGTTTGATGCACTTCATAACGAACTTCGAACCTGGTTCTATATAAATATAACCAAATCCCCGACAATATTAAAATTAGTTTTTCAACTTGACAATAATGAAGTTCATGGTGTATTTAAATTTTATTGAACAAATATGCGTGTTATTAGTATATATTTTAATTGGCACTCAGGCAATAGCCATATTTAAGGTAAAGAAAAAAAAATATTGAAAAACATTGAAAATATATTTCAAAGTCAATTTTCATGTACCCTAGAGAAACTGGACCTTTGAATTGAAAAAAGGTCGAAGTGACATCCTCAAATCCGCTTTTATTGAATATGAGTGATTTTCGGGCGGAACGTGTCGGTCGTGGTCAGCATGCCTTATATGGAAAAATATATTTGAATTTCGATATTAATGCAAATGATGGAAATGAGGTAACATTTTATTATTTGCCAATTTAATGTTTTAAAAAAATATATTTTTGTCTCTTATCTAAAAGCTCGAAGTCGATATATATCGCAGTGCCTCAAATATGCATGATTTTTGTCCACTACCATTTAAAATTTATCGCACCCATTTAATTCATATGCTCAATACCTTTTACAAGGAAGCGGCAATGGCAAATTTTAAAAATTGTTCGAATTTACCACAATTTGAGGGATTCTTTGAGCCACCATTAACACTAGAACGCCGAAGGCAGTCATTTTGACTGCTTTCCAATTTCAAGTAAAAAAGCAACTGTGCATTTATTGACACTTTTATTTTAAATTTGGTGATTTTTTTATAATAAACGTAATTCTATGAGATACCAAAAGTCACCAAATTTAAAAAAAAGTGTCATTAAATGCACAGTTGCTTTTTTACTTGAAATTGGAAAGCAGTCAAAATGACTACCTTCGGCGTTCTAGTGTTAAAACGGGATGTCTATTATTTTAACAAGTGTATATTCGATGAATCGGGATTTCCAGATTTCATTGTTGAAGGATATTATAAGGTACTGGTTCGTGGCCATGGTCCTGTGGAGTGGACAATGATGTTTATCTCTCTAACACAAAAAAATCGAAATGTAGACATTTTCGATCCTAACTCATTACAATTATGCCTGACAGTAATGAGACGTCATAACATCTA